GGGGGGGGGGGGGGCATGTGGAAAGGTCCTGAATTTGACTGGTGTGCGGAGCCAAAAGGAGCATATTTGATTGTCTAGTTCGCTTTGTTTAAAATCAGTGCCATTCTTCTCGGTTCAGAGCGTGATAACTGGCGTCTGTGTGTAGTAGTCAAGCGATACGCCGTTGTAGAGAGAATTTTTATCGAGTATTTAGTATTTCTGCTGGGACTTTGTGTGTCTCTCTCAGTCCGGATTGACCACGAAGCTGCCAAAGCCCGCCTTTAATTAATTATCTAAACTGTGTTGATGGAGACGTAAAACACCTACATAATTTGAGCGTGACAGGGGACAAATACTTCACACTCACATAGGTGTTTTTGTGTTCTGGCTGTACCCCTTGAGCAGAACAGGACAAAAACGGAACTCAAGAGAATAGGCTTGGATCGAAGGGGGAAAAGGCTGATATTAATTATCACAGAACCCTCGAGAATTTTTAGTATTTTTAGTTTTAGTAGAAGTTTTACGGCAGTTGCAACACAATAAGGTCATACATATTATGCCGAAGATTAGATGCTTCACAAGAGAGTAACAGACACAAAAAAGGAGGAGAGATAAGAACGGTATAATATGTTTGATAGGAAAGAAGGAGTAAACCACACCAGATGGGAAAGAGGAAGCAGACCACACCATCAAGAATCTCATAACAGCATTCTAATAAAACATGAAAGCAACTCACACTTCAAGAGAACAAAGGCTCCGTTGCGCAAGTTAGTAATTAAAGGGGGAAAAGACTGAAAAAGAAAGTGGATAGAAGACATCGGATGGTTTAACGTGTGCCTTCGATGAAATAAATCGAAACCAAATGATGAGAGTGAAAGACACTCAACTTCAATGAATGGTAACCAATTAAGACATCGAAATCGTCTTGTAAGTGGTTAATAATGCAAAACAGATGGACAACAAGGGCAAGTAAGGAGTACTAAGAGAGTTTTTTTCACAATCTTTTACTTTATTTCAGTCCTGTCATAATTTACCCCTGTACATTGATAGAAAAAGTACAAGAAGTTATTTCTAAAAACGACTCTTCAGACATTCTTTTTATTATTCTCATGATGACATGTACAAAAGCAAGTACGTTTTAATGAGATAACAAGTAACACAAGATAATTCATCTTCTCTCCCTCGTCAAGACAGCTCTAATTTTAATACTCTATAAAATTGCACTGTTCTGTTTAAGATTAAGAGCATTACTAACATTAATGTAGGCCTATTGTTAGTTTCCGTGGCCTTCAAGTAAACAAAAAAATCTGTTTAAAAGGTGTAAGACGTTCGAGGAAAGGCCGTTTTATTTGGAACTCCTTGTCAACTTCTTTAAAGGAGCAACTTCGTCAATATTTGAGATAGGATTAGAAACCCACAAAATTCCCCTCTTCTTCTCTTGCGCGATCTTCAGTTCTTCGCACCGACTTGCTACGCACAAGTCGTTCCTATTGCCAGTAGATCACTATTTCAGTGAGCTTGCCTGATCCTTCTTTTCGTTTTATTATACACGTAATGTTATAATGAGCATATTAGCTCTCTGCAAGCCCGTGTGAGCAGTCGATTATTGAAAACTATATATGTTAAAAGTACATCTGTTTGGTTAAAATATGAACACTGTCAAGCGCCTCGAGCCACGCTCGAATGGGCTCTGAGTATGGCTACAGCTGATTCATAACCTGTTTAGACTATCTTTACTTACACAATGACATTCTATGTCACAGTGTTGCAATCTTGTTCCTTTCATCATTTGTATGAAGGCAACAAACAATACCACGATGCCCTGGCTTAAACGTTGATCTGTAGCCACCTTGACATTCAGTTTACAAGTATGTTACTGTCTGAAAGATTACCGAAAAATGCGCTCTGATTTTGCTTCAAAGTGTTGAGGGAAAAAATCCCAACATTGTTATTCAACTACCCCCCCCCCCCCCACACACACACACCTTAAAAAAAGAAGAAAGCTGTGAAAATTAATGTTCTCCCTTTCCCTTCTCTCTTCCTGGAGCCATCGCAATACCTAAGACCAGGTGGTAGTGTTAGCTACAGAGTTAATCTTTGCCTAATATCTGTCACGGTTACTGTCCACATAGCTGTTGACTTGATCGTAAGCATGCTTTGTTGTAACATAGGCTCCATAGTACTTCAAAAAAGCAGTTTTGACCAGCCAAGCGAGACCGGGGAGAGAGAAGAAAGCACGCTTAGGTCTCTTCTTTCCCTGACCTTTATGAACATTGCCTAAAGACAGTCCGTTGAGAAATTCTTTAAGAACTTCAGGGCCGGATTGCTGGTTATCTTCGAGACTCTCCATGTTTTCCACAGCTTGCGCGAGATCAGCAAGTTCAGACGGAGACATATCGTCAAACATACCCGTCATAATGGGTCCCAGGTCTTGATCTATAATTTCCATTACTTGAGAAATGTCTCCCTCTGCTAGAGTGACGACTTCCAAATCCAGAGAGGGTTGTGTGTCACGAGTTTCTGCAGGATTTCGCGGGGTTCCTTGCTGGACGCTCCTTTGTCCTGTGGTTCCCTTTGCTCTGACGTCATTAAGCTCCAGGATGCCTGCGTAAGAGTGGGTCACCAGAAGCTGGGCCATCATCAGTACCAGTACTCTGTTTGTGGTCTTCATCTCTAGAGGTATGATGAAAAGTATACGATAAACACATTGAGCGAAGAGGAATAGTTAACGGATGTCTCATGAAATGTGTAACAAGTATTTCGATTGCTGTCAGTTCTCAGAAGGTCTTGGTGGTCACTTTCGTCTGACCGCGGTTAAAACGGGACAAGAACAAATCGCTCTGTTTAATCTTTCTGTGTCTTTGCATGTGGGTCTAAAAGT